AATCCGTAGAAAGCACCAATGAGACATTTAGAGAGTGAGTCGGTTCCCAAGAAATATGTGGGAGTTTGAGGCGTCCAGGTGTCATATGACCCTGAGCACACATCCGTGAGATGTTTTCCAATCTCCACTCTCTGTAATCAAGTATATTAGTGCAGTACTTGGCTGTACGGAAGATGATGAGCTGATCCTTATACGGTCATCTTTCTATTAGAGACAAACGGTATCCTCTCTTGAAGATCAGAACTATTGCTTTTGGGGTTGACCGTGAGATAGTTACTGCACGTTCGAACTCGTGGCGGCACATCCCGAAGTTGAAAATTGCTAATCCCTGCCGATGCTGTCACGGCCCGTCAGAATCGGCTTACCATCTCCTAAATACCTTTCCCGAAATTGGTCAAAAGCAAAATTTGTACACGCCTCTCCAGCTGTGTGCCCACACATCTCCAGCGGTGCAAGCAGGAAATTCAGTGTACCATGTTTACCTCCATGTTATGTATAACATTTTCGGCCTCCCAGCCTAGATTCAGGCTGTCCAGGCTGGGTCCTGGGACCGGTGAAGGAGTTAAGAGGTACAAAGTTCAATCGCATCTACTGGCAAAGGCGTAGGAACAGGGAGGGATGCATGGGCGGCAAATGCTCTTCCCTTTTTTTCGGGTGTGGGGACAAGGGGACAAAAGATACTGTACCTTTTGCCCTTCCCCATTTTTTTTTATTACTAAGATGCAAATCTCTGACAAGCAGATCCATTTCTGCCAAACCCCTCCTCACTCCCCCACCCGCCTGCCATCCGTTTCGAGTCATTTGCCACCTTGTCTTGAGAATTTTGATGCGGCTGAAATCCATCACACGGAGGACTGTTTGGGGACCTGAAAATTATGTGAGAGTTTGCAGCCATATGCATGGATGCTCCAAAGGTGTAGACGTCTGTACCAACTGTAGTGAAGAATTGTTCCAAGAAAGTACTCTGGAGCATGTTTATAGTAACAGACCGCGATATAGTCTGTAAGAGGGTAGATCTGAGGATCTACAGCAGGAAGAAGGGTACTGTCCTGCTTACTGACCTTAGCATATCAACTGACACCAATCTTCATGTCATTGCCCAGGGAGGAGTTCGAAAATTATTCTGAACTCAGAGTCGGAGTTGGAGTAGGCAGGTAGCGAGAGATGAAGACAGTCATCTTTCCCATCTTCATAGGCACAGCCAGCGGCGCAGTAAAAGGTCGTAAAAACTACGTCCGGAAACCGGAATGTGGAAAATTCCTGGACTTCCTCCAGGTTAGAGCTATATCTAGGTCACCTCTTGCATTCTCCACCGGGTTTTTCAGGACTGGAAAAGCAGGAAGCTGGGATGTGATTCATTCTCCTTCGTACTTTCTTCGCCGGAAATTGCCGTGGAACTCTGAGATCATAATAATACAGGAGAAACGCCCGTTCCCTTTCTTACGTCAGCGTGGCTCCCGGAGTTCTCAGGGGAGGAAACCACAAACCTTATTGTTTGAGGAAGTGTCATAATTGCGTATCCCATGATGTCACACGGCGTCACGGGATGCCATCTGGCGGGATCTCGTGACAGTCTTACGAACGAGTGTTATCGCTGGGATAGGACGGCCAAAGAAAGCGGAGAAACGTCTTTTCCGCGTGGCCGGACAAATTCACAACGGGATTAAGGAATGGCTGGATTCTTGTGCATGTCGTTAGTATTTCGTAATACTTGGATTCAGCAAGTAGGCTTGCGACAGCAGGCTGTAGTTTACAGCGCAATATAGAGCACAGTTCGTGTGTCATCGCACAGTACATCGAGGCACGGCTTACTCATTGAGAAATCCAGCTTTACTCAGCGAAATCAATCGTGGCCTGCACGAAACGTTTCTACCATAAATAAGTATATTGCTCCCGTAAGCTGTTTTGGGGGTGCTAAGCCCGCCAAATTTTTGAGTGAAATGCCCGCTTAAGAGTTTCGTCCGAGTATCCCCGTCCTTCATCCCAGGCAGGCGACCCCTCAACAATCAACTTTGCGGTATCCCTGGAATGTGCTGTGTTAAACATCTTGCACAGTCGTGTTTTTCATCAGAGCAACTTCATATTCGGCAGCTGAACGGGGATACTCACATTGGTTACGTCCCACGGGTGGAATTTCAATCAAATCATTTGTTGCTTCATTAACTTGAAATATTTCGGTCGTCAGTTTTTCCTTGCCTCACCGCGTACACTCTAAATGCAGAGCACTATCATTTATTGATACTTTGATGCATATAGCTAATTTGTCCATGGGTTCAAGTTCACGCCACCAAATATGCACATGTAGATGCACATGCTCTCCATACTGGCAAAGTAATCCAAACTGGCACATCATATCACCTCGGTGTTCAGAGAATATGCGGATCCGGATTGACTTCGTTCAATTTCAAAATTCGCTCTGCAATGGGTTCGTACATTTTTAAATAGGATGAATACAGAGTCCGCCAAAAAAAAATGTCTACACACTTCAGGAAAAGAAAAACTTGTATAAATATTTTAATACTAAATTCATTCAGACATCATGAGATTAATACAAGTTACCTTTGGCCTCTACAATTACAAGAGGTGCTCAAAGTGGTGGCCATTAGCTTCCAGACATTTATTAGTACCTAAAGGATGTCGTATATCGCAGAAAACCAACTACACTGGTGGCCCTTAGAGAAGAAATTGAAAATCCATGTGCTGCAATCCCACTGGACACTTTGGCCAAAGTTGCCCAGGCAGCAGTTCGCTGATGATTATTTACAGACCTTCGATTACCGGTGGTGAAACTCGAGGAGAACATTAACATCTCCGGTTTTCATTGAACATAATTAGAGTACTACAGACTTATTATTTAGTATTAAAATATTTATACAAGTTTTTCTTTTCCTGAAGTGTGTATACATTTTTTTGGCAGACTCTGTATATATATACACACACACCATTCTTTCTTATGACTTAGTCTGCTGAATAGAGATATTTATAGATGTGCAAGTGGATGTGGCCTGATAGTTCCTCTTTACACTGCCCATGGGTGCCTTCTGCATACATGACTTTCCACATTAGGACAAACCCAGTGCAGCTTGGCCATGGGTGGATGATAAAGATTTTCAAAGCCTATTTAGTTTCCATAAAACAATGACCAAAAATGCTTTTATTTTTTAAGGAATATTTCCATCACTGTATCTCCTGATAAAATTTTATGCTCTGGAAAAACAACAGTACACAGGGAATGATGGTGAAAAGAGCAGGTCCTATTGCATGCAGTGCTTCTGAGGTCAGATAGAACCCTAATCAGCCCATAAAAGTGCACAGCGATAGCCTGAGCCAATCACAAGTGGCTAAAAATTGAAAAAGGTTCCAAAATTTTTTGGGTATGTATATTAAGTTTGAGTCAGGAGTCAGGAGTCAGGAGAGTTAGTGATATCAAGAGGCGATTTCGCCCATTTCGATATCACGTGTCGAGGTCGAGCGTTCCTTAATTTTAGGGTAGGCCTAACCCTCTTAAAGCTATATATTTTTGTATTTTTGTATTTTTGTTTTTGTTTTTTTTTTTTTTTTTTTTTTTTTTTTTTTTTTTTTTTTTTTTTTTTTTTTTTTTTTTTTTTTTTTT